TGAATTGTGTGCCACTGAGATTTGAAACCAGGCCACCTAGAAAATATTTTGACAATTACATTCTGCACAGGAATTCCTCTAAGTGAATGGACTATTTGTGTTAGGTATGTAGTTTGATTAATGCTTGGGCTAGAAGCCGAGCTCCAGGACCTGGATGTTGGTTGCTGCCATAACTTCAAAGAGGAGAAAAAGCTACTCTGAAAAGGAGAAAAACAGTGAGACAAATTCAAATCTTGACATTTGGGGATTAACTCAGGTTGGAGGGGTGGAGAAGAAGAGGGAATGGAGAGAGGTGGAATGATTTAACTAGGGAAATGCTGAGATCTGTGTGATGTGATTCTTCCCCGTGATGTACCTCCTCCCAGATCTCTCCAGTAAAATCTCCCAGCTTGGGACACATTGGGTGTTGTGTTGATTTGTCAGGGCCACCCTAACAAAGTACTTCAAACTGAGTGATTTAAACAACATACTTCATTCCCACCGTTCGGGAGGTTAGAAATTCAGGATCAAGGTGTTTGTTGGTGGAGGGGGTGGCACAAAGGGCTCCATGCCTGTTGTTTTACTCAGTTTTTTCACTGCTTGTGACTAAAAAGACCCAACCAGAACAACTGTACAGAAGGAAAAGTTTATTTGTGGGCTCACAGTTTCAGAGATCTCAATCCATGGATAGCAGATTCCATTCCTCGGGGCCAGAGGTAAGGCAAAATGACGTCATGGTGGAAAAGTGTAGTGAAAGGAAGCAGCTCACTTCTCATTTTCATAATCAGAAAACAGAGAGAGGTCTCCACTTGCCAGATACAAACATATACCCCAAAGCCACACCCCAATTCTCACTTCTTCCAGCCACACCCTACCACTTTAATTCCCACAAAGTTTATCCCTATCAGGAGATTAATTCATTGATTAGGTTAAGACTCATATAACCCAATCATTTCTCCTCCGAACCTTCTTACATTGTCTCACCTGTGAGCTTTTGGAGGATGCCTCACATCCAAACCATAACTCCGGTCTTCCAGCTGATGGTGCTCTCTCACAGTCTTGACAGTCCTCGGGGAGTAAAAGTGTCACTGATCTCTGTCTCCATCCTCCTGGGGGGTTCTCCCTGCGTCTGCATCTGTGTGGGTCTAAACTTCCCCTTTTTATTAGGACAACAGTCATTCTGAACAAAGGGCTTACCCTCTTCCAATATGACCTCATTTCAACTATTTACACTTGAAACAGCACTGTTTCCAAATAAGGTCACATTCTGAGGACTGAAGGTTAAGACTTCACCAACTGAATTCTTGTGGCACACAATTCAAAACCATAAGTAGTATAGATTGGATTTCTTGAGGAACCCTATAAAGGGGTTGAGTTGTACATCTGGATTGATGTGGAAAGAGATATCACTTATCCACCAGGTTATTCAGAAAAGACTGAGAAGATATTTTGGAGTGGCCTAGCCTTTTCAAGTTGAGAAATTGAGTTTAGAGACAATTCATATTTCAAGGGGTAGAAGACACAACTGTGTCTTGAAGTAAATTCAAGGGTTACTATCAATTCCCTCCCTACCATGACCTTAAGAATTTATAGAACCAACTCTGTCTTTGCCCTCACCCCCCAAAAGATTATCCTTTCCCTTAAAACTTCAAGTTCAATAAGGGGTAATATTCTTCAACTTATTTTATTTCCCTTAATATTTCTAATACATGGGAAAATATCCTACTGGAGATGGATTACCACAAGTCCCCAGATGGCTTGTGAACACATATAATTTTTGATGATATAGCATTGCCATAGCTAGATGGATACATATCATTTTTCTTGGTATCTGACTTAAAGAAGGGCTGACAATGAAACAAATAGTATGTCATATATTATAAAAATTTCCTATTCAAATTACCTGAGCTAAAAATCTAGCTCTGTCACTGACCAGCCAAATGATTTTGAGCAATCATTTCATCTCTCTGTGCCTCAGTTACTACATCTAAAAAATGGGGATAATGATAAACCTTATCCTGATGGGGATCTTGTGAAAATTATATGAGTTAAACCAATTAAAATTATATAAGTTAAGCCAATTAAATACTTAGAAGTTGGGTTCTCATTATAATGAGCTATTATAATGTAGTCAAAATAGAAATTACCTTTCACAGTATCAAAATGTGATACAACTGGAACTGTTATAAGAAATATTCAAATTAACTATAGGACTTGAAATTAAGTAGAGAAAGGAAAATTAATTAGAATTTTAATTAACTCTAAAATTGTTGGGTTAAATAAACTTAAATCAATAGTCTGTGTCCAGCCAATAAGAGAGTTAGGCCTTTGTAGTATTTTAGGTATAATCTTTCTCTACCTATATCTACATCATCAGCCAAAACAACTACATAATTGTAAATAAAAATTCTTAGCTAAAGTCTCTGATTTAATTATATGTTCAGTCCACTAACTTCATTATATAGACAATTTGATGGTTTAAAAATATAAATCCTGAGCTAAGATGCAGTTTCAGAGTAGCCATTATATTTTTCTCCTTTTAAAAATGTCTTGGGAAGAAAAAGAATGACATTTCACAGAACAATGGCTATTATGAAAAGAATTGGGATAAATAAAAAAATTGTAATGCTAGGTCAGGTTTACACGAGACGACAAAAGTCAAAGATCTGATGGATTCATCAGGTTTGACTCTTTTAAAGAAAACTCCAGGATTGTGGTATTTCTGCTTGAGAAAACCTTATCCATGATCTCCCTTTTGTAAATTCCACCATTTAGAAGACAGTAGAGGTTCCTCATGTGCAAAATGAGAAAATTTAAAAATATGCTATTCAGGACATCATTAGAGAATCAAAAATGAAGTAATTTATACAAAAGCAACTAGAAAACTGAAATGTATATATAGTAGGTATCATTAGAGTTAGAAAGGGATTTATAACTTCTCAAATGAAGATTAGATACAATCATATAAAAAATAAAGCAAACTGAGTAGAATCTTCAAATGTAACAACACTGGAATATTGTTTAGAATTTTATAGAGCATTTTGATATTTACCACATCTGTTGGTTCTCATGAACACCTTTCAAGGAAGTCAGATAGCTATCAGGAATAAGACTGAAGCTCTGGGTAATATGTGTGTGAGTATCTGTGTGTGTGTGTGTGTGTGTGTGTGTGTGTGTGTGTGTGTTTGTACACATATATACAGCAAATCCAGAATTCAGAAATTCTTTTTTTTTTCCTGATCTCAGATCTTGGCCCTGTTTTTATGCTTCTTACCCTCTAAACAGAGAACTCCTTCCTTTCATAGAACACATCTCTCTGTTACCAGTAAACTAAAAATAATTGTGAGTTAACTTCTTCCTTTCTTTCAAAGTCATGGAATAAGTAGCAAACTCTGAGCTACCCCCACAATATCTTACCTACTGTGCTCCAGGGAGAATACAAACCAGACCCATTTATTTGAGTTCACGTTCTGTGTTCAGAAGGCCCTCATATCACTCTGCTATGCTGCATAACAGATCACGCCAAGTTTAGTGACTCTAACAAGCATTTTTATTGCTTCCAAGTTTCTGGGTCAGCTGGGCAGTTCTGCTCTCAGCCCAGTTCACTTGTACATCTGTGGTTATCTTGGGTTGGGTTAGCAATTTACTCCCTGCTTGGCTGGACTTTCACACACATTTGTGGGATGACCACCTGTAGCCTGATCAGGTTGGCCTCTGCTGGGACAACTGTCATTTCTTCTGATCCTTTGTCCACCAGGTTTTCCCAGGTTTGTTCCTGTGACAGCAGCAGGAGTCCAAGAGAGGAAACAAACGTGGACAGCCTGAGCTTAGAGCTGGCACGTTGTTCTTTCTGTTGCATAGAGTGGGCCAGAACAAGTCACAGTCCCAGCCCAAATTCAAGGACTGGAGAAAGACATGCCACCTTTTGACATGAGCAAAAAAGAATGAATGGGCATGAAAAGAGGTAGAGAATTAGGATCATATTCAAGCAGTCTATTGTAACCATTAATATGTCACATCCATGTGCAAGGCTCAGGGTTTGATCCACAGAACTAATACATAAACATATAAAATATGTGTATGTGTAATATCATAAAGAAGGAAAGCCTAGCATATTAACATGAACATTATGCATTGACATTGATTAGATTCTTGGTTGTCACCTTATGGCATGTTAATCAAGCAAGGGATTTTGTAATAATTCTAACTTACTCATCTTTGTATTCCAGGCACTTGGCCTTGCATCATACAAATTGTAGGTATTTCATTAAAAATTAATGATTAAAAAATGAGAGTGGAAAAATCACTGTACTCGAAACCAGGGGATCAGATGAAGCACTGGGCATTTATGTCAAATTCTCTATGCAGCTTCAGAAGGGCGTGATTCAGCCTCCCTAGATTTTGAGGGACAGAATGAGACTGGGGATTCTCTCTTTCTTTTAAAATATTAAGGCTAATAAGAACTTTAGAAATTATATAGATCTGTCCACTCATTACCCAGGTAGTGAGGCTGAAGCCCGGAAAGCCAGTCGACTGGCTTGAAAGCACAGATGGTTCATGTCAGAGACTAGAACTCAGAGCTCATGGCTCCTGGCCCAAGCCACCATGCCTGATCCCAATACCCGGTTACTCAGAGTGCAATCCACGGAAAGGATGGTCTGGGAGTCTCAGCAGAGTCTCAGAGTCTAGCCCAAGGTTTCTGAATTAGACTCTGGATTTTTAACAAGATATTTCACATTTGTGTTAAAGATAATCTAGGCTTCTGACTAAATGATTAAAGGCTGAAAAACGAAAACAACTTGTTTAGTTAGGGTGATGTTCCTTCAGAGATCTTAACACTGAAGCCGACAGATACCTCCTGCGTGTTTACTCCATGTGAGCTACTGCAGAAACACAGAAACCAGGTCCTGGCCCTGCTGGAATCGGGCTCTCCACAGGGGAGTAAAAGCCCCTTCTCTCCTCCCAAGTCCTCCTGACTTCTTCGTGCCCTCTCTTTGCCCTTTCCTTTGCCCTTTCTTCTAGGCTTCATCTTAATGATTCTGTGACTGGGTTCTTTTTTTTTTTCTGAAGCTATTGATATAAGAGCAAAGTATTTTATTCATTTGAAATTCCACTTTCAGAAGAGCGATTTTAAAATGTTGGAAAAATTTGATTTGGCCCACTTCCAAGCGGCTTACATTATACTGTCAGCATGACCCTAAAACTGCGCACCAAGAAGGCTGAAGCACTCAGAACCCTTTGGGGGAATTCTATATGAACATAGTGTGGGTTCGTTGTACGTTTGAGTTTTCATATTCTTCTAATGCAGTCTTTTCTCTAAGAAGATAAAAGGTTGAGAAGCTCTAATGCTGAAATAAAAATTCAAAGAGATCCTATTTTTTTTTCTCTAACATTCAGAGCCAGCATTTCTCTAATAAAATATTCATTTCTTCATTGAAGAGAAAAGGAAAAAAAAATTTAATATCAACAGATTGATTGTGTTCAAGAATTTGGGATGAAACTGAGACAATGAAACAGAAATCCAGCAAATTGGCTATTTTCTGATGAGTAATGAAGCCTGGAGTCTTTACATTAAGCAACTAGAGCACAAGTCATGGTTATGGGATGCTGCTCAATTCCTCTGAGGCCCGGATGCCTAGCATTTTAAGTTCCAGTGTTTGAGAGTGTTACACCTCTCTTCTTTCTTTATGCTCTCTCATAGTTCTGAAGAGCTCTGAACTCATTTCATTCTTCTTTCCTCCCCTTGTCTTCTCCCTCTTCAAAGATATTCCACAATGACTATGCTTTTCAAAATCAAGACCGCTTGAACTTTAGCTGAGAGTCATGAAATTTCAATCTTACACACAATGGCAAATACATCCTCCTTCTGCTCTCTTGGTGTCGTCAGAATAGCAACTGCCCGCATGAACAATAGGGCTCCTTTTCAGTTTTGAGGGCCTGGCCGTTGCTGACCAGCAGTGCATAGAAATAATCCTTGGCAATCCCATGGGTGACATTCCTCATTCCTTATCGCCCATGCTGCACACAGCCGGAACTTGATAAGACACCCAGAAAGAAGATAATGGCTGCTATCAAGCTGTCTAGGTAGAAATAATAATAATAATCTGTTTATGGAAAAGCAGCTGTCCTATTGTTTTGGATTTCATGAAATCCCAGAGTCAGATCCTCTCTTCCACGCCAGCCCCATTCCTGTTCCTCATGCCAATCCAATCACTTGGGGGCTTTAACGACAGGCTTTTTTTTTTTTTAATGATCTTTGACACAATAGACAAGGATACATGTAAATATCCCATCATCATATTCAGTCATACGGTACACTTAAAAGACTAGAGAAGAGACACTTTACAGGAGGATTTGAAGACTAGAAAGACTTTGTAATGAATATAGGGAAGCCCAATATTTCTTTTGAAAAGAGGCATAAACCCCAGAAGTATTCAAATGAATAGTCCAATAGTGATGATAGTCTAAAATATTGACCCTCAAAATCTCACAGGTAATTCTTAAAATTCTTAAAGTGAAACTCCAGTGAATTATGATACTGTGGTTGCCAGCAGACAGGACAGGTCACATCTATGCTGGCGGATTCCCATTTGTCCTGAACAGAAGAGCTAAAGGCTTAGTTAGAGAAGCAGTCTGGCAGTAATGTCACTGTTCTCCTTTCCTTTGACCCAAATCACTCTCCTGGATGCAAAAAGTTCTCCCTGGGCTGAATGTGTGGCTGCTTCCTTTCAGAGAGCATTGGCTTCATGGGGGTATCTGGGGACACTACTTTTCTTCATCTGTCCACTTATCTTTAGGGCAGCAAGCCCTTCAGGGTGAATCAAGTGAAGAGAACCAAATAGATCAGTCCTTGTTTTTCCCTCCACACAACACTAAAACCTACCTAAAACTTGCATTTTTATTTCCATCCTTGAAAGAGTTAATCCGTACGGGTCCCATTGTGGTAGTGAGAAGATGGTTGGAGGAGCTTTTCCTTCTCCTGTGGTTTCTCTAAAATCGTTATCACTTCCACCTGGCTGAGTTCACAGTCTCCCTGCGTCCTCTTTTAGTAAGGACTGGAAATAACCTAAGAATGAAAAGAAGGAAAAGATAAGGGCAATTAAGTGGAGAAACAGCCTTAAAGGATTTCCCACTGACCAGTCCCTCCATTCTGTGTGACAGAATTACTCTTTGAGCCAGAAATATCTCTGCCTCTGGGTGAGTTCAGTTCTCTTGATAACCCAACAAAGACACACTCAGCCAAAATCTCTCTCTCTTTCCCTCTGCTGAGTGAATTTCCAGCCACAGAGGCTTCTCTACCCTCTCCTACCTTCTCCCCCCTTCAACAGAATTCGATCACATGCGTTTCTTTCCTCACCAAACAGAAGGGGAATTCCGAGAAAGAAAGTTAATGTGGTTTTATCTTTTGATTCATCTTTGGGAAGACAACATCAAAGTAAATAGGGAAATGCATTTTGCATCAAACATACCTGTATGTGCATCCTACTCTGATATTGACTACATGTGTGCCCTTGAGTTTTCTGGGAGTCCATTTACTAAGATGTAAAATAGAGCTGTTTCTTCAAGGTTTGTTTTTGTTTTTGTTTTGTTTTGTTTTTTTTAAGGATTAAGTGCATTCATGCATTTGAATGTAAAATGTTTAACACAATGCTGATATGCAATAAGATCTGGCTAAAAGGTAGACATTGTGATTCTACCTTACTTGGTTATCCACATCCACCGCACAGAGGACTCTCCGTAAATATGTATTAAAGAGTAAATGAAAGAACAAATGAAATACTAAAATAAATATTCAGTATTTATACACACGTAGGATATACACACACACGATGGTCTAAATACTTATATTATCATCCTCCCTCTGAAAATCGCATTGCTCTCTGCTTTATCCGAGATCTCAAAGCAGGATGGAGTCTGACAGCCTTCAGGGAGTCTATGGGGGGATGGGAGGGGATGCTGATCACAGAGTTTGCAAGGATTCTTCTTTCTCACAGTTTTACTGTAAGAGGTGGCCTCCAGGAATCCACGCATTTTCTCGATGGCAGCAGAATTCAACAGTCCTTTAGACATCAAGACAACACAGGTGGGACAGGTGGGTACAGTAACATGCTTCTGGCCCACAACCTAAGGCCTGAAAAAGGAAGAGCACAGGTACTCAGTCTGTCCGTTTACCAGGAAGAGTCATGGCAGAATTCGAGAAACCAGGAGATGTGGTCTTTAACTTGCACTACCTTCTCTCAGTTGCCTTTTTTTTTTTCAGAAGACACTGTAAATTGCAGATCTCATGCTATTCTGAAAAATATCTGGATTCAGACTTGGCATTTCTTGCATGAGACACCAAAGGAGTTAATGTCTGGCCGGTAATCAAAATCTGGCGGCTCCTCCACCACACATAATAGGCATTGTTGTTCTTGAGAGTTTGTCTGTTTTTTCTGGCAGGCTTGACTGTTTGGAACCGATTCTAAAACAGAAAAGGAAAAAGTCAGTCTGCTTTTTCTTTTTTTCTTTCTTTTTTTTTGTTTACATGCACATGCAACAAAACATAAGGCTGGTCATATAACTGTTGTTTCGCCAGATTTCAGGAAAAATTGATGACTTTCTATTCAAAGAAGATGATATATCAACTTAAAACATACTTACCAAAAGAGAATTTATTTATTCAAAGAAGGTGATGTATCAACTTAAAACGTTCTTACCAAAAGAGAATTTATTTATATATGTGCATGAAACATCCCGAACACCCTAAAGTGACTGCCTTCTCTCCATACCAAGCAACACATTACAACTATATTAGCTGGTAAGTGAAGTGTGGCTGGCTGAACCATTCATCTACATAGAAAATCCATTTTCACGATGTTATTAATGTGCTTGTTCATCAACCTTCCCAGGTCACTTGCAATCTTAAGACACGCTTGTCACTCCCACCTGATGTGCTTCCAGATGTTTTCATCTAAAACCAACATGAACATAACTTACTAAAGTTACTGATATGATCAACATCCCATTACAAAACAGACCCATTCCTCTAGGAAAGGGCAGATCCTTTTCAATTTCCAAACTGTCATAAAGCAACATTTTTGTATAAACCAAAATCATTCACTGGGTTTTCAATGACGAATTGTTATAAAAGTTTGTAAATACTTAGTTTCTGTATTCCCATTTCAGAATGAAGATCAAACTTCTCCGTGGACCATGCCTAATTGGCTCTAGGCTTAGTTATATTGGAAACAGACCAATATTCTAGATGAGTGTTCAAGTACCTTTTCTGTAAAGGGCCAGATGCTAAATATTTTGGGTTTTACAACCCATACATTCTCTGTAGCTACTCAATTCTGCTGTTTTAGAATGAAAACAGCCATAGACAAAAAGAAAATGAATGAGCTATGTTCAATAAAACTTTATTTATAAGAATAGACAACAGTCTGGATTTGGCCCATAAGCTCTAATGTGCCAACACCTGGATGCTAACATGGTTTATGATAATGATGGTGGTGATAGCTAACCGTTACTGACCAGCTACTAAGTGCCAGATCCTGTCTGTTCTCCCACCATACCCATAGGTTGTCACTGTGATTGAAATACTTAAAATATCAGTATCATCTTGATCATCTTGTTTCCTTTCTCATCTCCCGATCCATCCTTCGCCTCAGCAGTACCTACATCTTAGTGACCAATCACACCACAAATCCTGATCGAGTCAGGGCCAGGGGTAGATACAGTCTGGAGTGAATACACTCACGGAAACATTTGCATATTTGTGTCTTTGGTGCTTGCTCTGGGTCACACACTGGCCTCAGCAATGGAGAACAAAACACCCAAGATCCTGCCCTTATAAAACTTAACATTTGGCTGGGTGTTATGGCGCATGCCTATAATCCCAGTGGCTCTGGAGGCTGAGGTAGGAGGATTGCTAGTTCAAAGCCAACCTCATCAAAACAGAGATGCTAAGCAACTCAGTGAGACCCTGTCTCTAAACAAAATACAAAATAGGGCTGGGGATGTGGCTCAGTGGTCTAGTGCCCCTGAGTTCAATCCCTGGTACCCATCCCCCATACAAAAAAAAAAAAAACTTAACATTCTACTAAGGAGAGGCAGACAAAAACAAAGAACTATGTATTATATGGAATGTGGGGACTCGGTGTTGGAAGAAAAATAAAGCCGAATAGGAGAACAGAATGACAAGGGAATGTTGCTCTTTCATCCAACTCATTTATTTCTTATCCAACTACACTCCAAATAGACCTGTGACCTCCAATGTATCTACTAGGCTTAAATATATTTATAGAATGTGTTCATAACATATTTTTTTATCTATTATTTTCCCCCAATTGTACAGGAGAGAACACTGAGGTAGGAACTAGTTTATTTGTTGCAGCTGCAAATATTTATTAAGTGCCTACTTTGGGCCTGGTCCTGTTTTTAGAAGGAATCCAACAGCTAGCAAAACAGAGATGCTCACTCCTGTGGTATTTACCTATGACCAGGGAAGTCAGAGAATAAACAAAAACCATAATAAACACACGTCAGAAGGTGATAAGTATAACAGAGAAAAGTCATCGGGGGATAAGAAGAACCAGAGTGCCCGGAAGAAGACAGATCGTCACTTAAAATAGCCGAGCAGAATGTTCTCCAGCGGGTAAGTGCAACTGCAAGAACACCTATCTGAACGTCAAGCCCTGGTGTTTAGTCAGCTCACCACCAAGTCAGCGTGTCATCCATTAAAAGGAAACACAGGATGTTCTGTGTTGAGTGTTCTATTTAAGTGCAGAGAAAGAAATGTTATTCTTTCAAAGTCATTTTTGCCCTTCCTTTTCCCTTGCATGAAAGAAAATACTGCGAGACTGGCAGCTGAAACAATGCAGGGATGGAAGAGGGAAAAGGAAGGAAAAACCAAAACTGAGGGCCAGCATTCAGGCTGCTGTTTTAACAAGGATGTAACTGTGGCCCCGCCCTCCCAGGTCCCAGGACAGCCTTGCTAAGGAACCAGGGGAAAGCAGGGCTGGCAGACGCTGGGCATTTTCCATTAGTGTGCAGTTGGCTTTTTCAAACAGTAATGAGATGCTAATATAGATTTGAATTTTAATCGGATCCAACATGGGAACCGGGTGTTTTTCTTCAAATGTGAAATATTTCTAGGCTTTTAGGAAAAATGTCAGCCGTATAAAGGCTAACTACTGTTTTACATATAAAACTGCCATTCTTCATTGGTTTCTCAGGAAAAAATATGACGATAAAATGAAACATTGCCGCAAAGATTTTTTTTTTTTACTTTCTTAGAAACATTAATTGTTTCTGAGGGTTTTATTTTTTTATTTTTTTAATCATTCTTACAAACTAAGAAAAATGCTTGTAAGGTTAAGGCAAGGATTAGGGGATTTCAGTTAATACATTGTGAAAACAGACGTAATTGAAATCTATTTTTGATAATCATAATATTAAGAGAGCTCAAAAATTTCTTTAAAAAATGTGATACACTCAGTAGCTCGGTAGGCTGAGGCAGGAGGATTGCAAGTTCAAAGCCATCCTCAGGAACTTAGTGAGACTCTAGCAACTTAGAGAGACCCTGTCTCAAAACAAAATATAAAAAGAGCTGGGGAAGTCACTCAGTGGTTAAGCACCCCTGGTACCAAAAAAAAAAAAAAAAGATATAGCTTTAATGCTTTGTGTTATGATTTAGATGTGGTATCCCCAAAAAACTTACATGACACAATGCGAGAAGGTTTAGAGGACAAAACCACTGGGTTATAGCCTTAACCTAAGCAGTAATGGGATTAATTAAGTGGGAACCTGAGGCAGGTGGGGTGTAGCTGCAGGAAGTGGTTCATTGGGGGCATAGCTCTGGGGTATCTAATTTGTATCTGGAGAGTGGAGTCTCTATCTGCTTTCTGATCATCATTAGCCACTTTCCTCTACCACACTCTCTGCCATGATGTTCAGCCTCACCCTGATCCCTGAGGAATGGAGCCTGCTGTCTATGGACTGAGATCTCATGAAACCGTGAGCCCCCACATAAACTTTTCTTCCCCTAAAACTGTTCTGTTCAGTTCTTTTAGCCACAGCAATGAAAAAGCTGACTAGAACACTAGGAATACCAATAGCAATAACTCTGCCGACAAGCAAAAGGGGTTCAAAGTCAAGTCTGCTTGCCCAGAAAGGACATACTCAGTAACCACCACCCCTTGCTACCAGCCACGACAACACTGTTCTCTCTGGTGTATGGTGTTACAGCTGCTCCCTCCACTCCAGTCATTTCACTAAACCCTTCCCCAGAGTGTGCTTTAACACACCCTGACCCTGCAGGAGACGTGGTTCCCATTTCACAGATGAGAAGGATGCCCAGACGTGTGGCGTAACTGACTCAAAAGCAGATGACAAGGAAGGCTGGGTTCTAGTCCACAGGCCTTCGACTGTCAAGTCAGCACTTCAGCGAGGACTTTCTCCCTTCTTATCTTTCCTACATTTTCTCCCTTCCCCTCTAGTATTCTTTTCAAGGAGTATGCACTACTTTTGTAATTGGAAAAAAAAAAGATCTTTTTTTGGAGTATACTTATTATGCCTAGTAGCTCTACTAATCAGTTTATTGAGTTATTTAGAATAAAGTCCTCTGGGGTGTTAAGGGGCAGCCGGGTCCTGGGAGTCTGTCTCTACTACCACTCGGGAATAAATCAAGCTATTTTCTGCATGACAAGTCTATCCAAAAATCCACTGGTCAAACAGCAGATAGGAACCCAAGTCCATGCCCAATCCACTTCCTATCCACCCCCATGAGAATTCTCTGAAGGCCACTAAATCATAAAGACAGAGCCTGCTGTGGGTGGAAACGAGGAGACTAGGGACGAGATTTCCCTAAACCTCCTTCATTGAACTCTGATTTGGATAGTCCTTGGAGAAAACAAAGACAAGACCTCATGAGTGTCCACTTTTGGGGAATGTAAGCTTGAGATTTTCCATCTGTGCATACATTTGGATGCCTAAACACATGTTTATAACACATAATTCTATGATTAAGCATCCAGAGTAATAAGACAAATATACTGGAAAGAGAGACAATTATTTACTTTATTAAAGGATTTCAACACTAAAATATAAATCTCTATTGTGTTAATTTGCAAAGTAAATTGCCTGAAAATGTGAGATGTCAAATTTTCTATCTAACTCAGAGTGAACAGTCAGACTGGGAAACTAAGCATGCTGTTAACAAAGGAGAAAAAGAATGTATACATTGGAGAGGGTCACAGTAGCCCCACAAGTATTCTGATAGGCCCCTCTCAAAACTTCTTAAACAGACCTCCACTTATATACATTAAATATATATATTTTTTGGAAATGATGCTTATCATCTATAGAAATATCTGCTAGTATAGTAAATTTGAATATTGTACCTGTGAAAGAGAATATCAGCCTAGAGGTGTCAAGTCCAAAGCAGTTGGAGTGGGTTTCAACTCACAAAATTTGGGCACC